GGGCAGGAATTATTTCAATGGTAGAACATAAACCATGATCGTAAATTTACTTATATTTCCGTTTATAAATTATAATCCTCCTCTTTCATATTCACTGATACCACATCATAAAGACAATTGTATACAATGTAATGTACTTCATAATCCCGTTTATCATAGAGCTTATCAAAGTTAATTTTATAAAATACTACTAAATGCATCGTAATTTTGAACAAATTATTCCCAAGCTTGGTAATGAATTCATATACGACGTTCGATTTTGGGTGAATTTATGAACAATACTGAACAGAAATTATTCCGCTATAGCTACATCAATAATGCTAGATCAATAAGACCACAAAATATTGATGCTGCCTCTAACGTGGCGCACTTTAATTTCCCCTCAAGCGTCTTGCTTGAATGATAGTTTTACCCTAAAATTCACAGAGAGTGAAATTTGAGTGAGTTCAATAATCTCATTGAAATTTGAGTGAGTAAATAATCTGAGTAAAATACAATGTAGTACATTTTCTGACACGTTTTTTTAAGTTATGAGCCTGTGGAACATTTTGACACGATTTCCCCGTTTTATTTTGAGGTGCACGATGGACCACTTTAAGCTGTGCCAAAAAAATATTGAAATAATGGTTTTGACAAACACGATGCTGGGTATGTGGATGAAAAATAAAATATAATTAATTATATTTTATCCATTTCACAAATTGGTATAGGTTAAACTGTGGGATTATTTACATTTTTTCAAGTGCGTCATGGTAGGAATCCGTCCCCCCCCCCCCGATTTTCGTCCAGTTTTCGGAAATCAGATTTCGGAATTTCGTCATAGGTTTTTCGGTAACGACATTTTTACACAAAATTTTCAAAGCACGTTTTAGTGAGGTGAAAGTACTTATATTTAACTGAATGGGTTTGAAGCTCATCAACAAAGAAGTTTTGCAACACTGCTTGAGGTAATTTTGGGCAAAGTCTACATGCCACGTTAGGCCATAGGGTACCATCACATTCAATACGCTCAAAATGCTATCCGGGTTTTGACCTTAGCCTTGGGCTTATCCTTATTTCTACAAAGTTTGACTATATTAGAGTTGTATATAATATCAATGCACTGTTTTTATCCCACAAACTTGCCCCCGCGCGTCAGTCAAGCAGCAGCTAGGCTAGGCCAGGACCGAGCTGCTCATTATGCACAGCAGCTCAAAAACAATACAGTTTTGTAAATATTATGACATTTGATAAACAGCCGGTGACCTTCAATTTGACCCGGTCTATAAAGCTAGCTGACTAGCGCTTGCGGTACGCGCTACGTACGTGTGCGCGGCAAAGAACACACGTGACATTTAAAATGACAGCGCGAATGCGCTAGACGTAGACGTACTTCGACTACATACTTGACCTTGAAGGCTTGACGGTACATTTTTTATAACTTTCATAGTTTCACGCCCAGCAGTCAGATTGGGTTGATAATTATATCGAGGTGAGCATAATTGTGTTTATGTTATGCACTGGGTGATATACATGTACGTTCTTGTGCTCTTTCGTTTTCGTGTTTTGAAAATGTGTCAGGCCTAACTTAACTTTAGGCCCTATAGCCTGTAGCCCAGGTTGGACGACCAGTCTTCTTTGCACTAGGCCTACGACTTTGTTTGTCGCAATTTAATGAAGACTTTGTCCACTGGGCTAGGTTAGGCCATGGTTCGGCCCAATATTTTACTTTTTCGGAAAAGGCCCATGCATGCCTAAAACATATCTTGCTTGAATTATACTTGTAACCCAAGCTGCACGGTTAGCCAAATTGTTACTATAATGTTATTTAATAGTTTATAATAGGAGTAGGCCCTAGTTTATATGATCGAGTTCAAAATTGTGTTGACGCCATTTTCGTTATTTTCCGATTTTAAGTGTGCAAACAGCGACATCAGTTCCACATATTCAACGTTATTTTATTGCTAAACAAATTTAACAGTGATAACTTTTCTAAAAACTACAATCCTTTTTAATATTAAACATCAACTCTTCTGTGAATATGTAATGAGGTCATGTAAAAATTTTAGTGATAATTTTTATAAATGCTTTTTATTAAACATCAATGTTCTTGTGCATATGTAATGAGGTCATTTAACAATCAACTTGAATGCTTATCCAAAAACAATCCACTCTCCAGTGAATATCTTTGTTGTCATGTCACAAGTACATACCTAAGTACAGCAATATTACTCCGGCAGCACATTTAAATCCATCACAGTCTCACCCTCCATACGGAGTGACGCTGTCATTTGCGTGCAATTCAAACATAATTTGCATGCAAATGGCTAATTAAAGCATAATTAAGGCCATTGATTAGGTTCAGGGAACTGGTAAATGTAAAACCATTGGAAATTTTGTTCAATATGTATAATACTCATCATTTCTTATTCAAAATCAAAGGAATTCAGACAGTTCCTTTAAACAGTTTTTTTTTAAATGTTATATTCCATTAAAACAAGTTATGAATGTTATTAGGGCGCCCCTTTTTAATTCTTTTTAATTGTATGTTTCTCATTTCTAACCGACCACTTTTTTATGCTGTTGATCCTGTCTAGAATCTCTAATCAAGAAAAACGAATTAATTTTTAAAAAATTTTCCTTGATTTCAAGGGACAAAGCAATATTTTTTAATTTTCCTGGATTTCAAGGGACAAAGCAATATTTTTTTCCAGGTTTTTTTTCCTCCCGACCCTCCCACAAGGTAAAACAAAAATTAGGAACCATATTATTAAAAAGGGACGCCCTTATCATCAAACATATAATTGCAGGTTCCAAACACGTTAAGTGTAAACAAAAACAACATTTTAAATGTTTCCAGGATTAACAATTTGTTTTTAATTATGTTTGCTCTTAGTATAGTGCTCATCTCTAATAAAACATGGGTATTTCACACCCATTTAAAAAAATAGTTATTTCTTCATCTGAAGTTTGATCAACTAATCATGTGTAATATATCTGATAACCACCCCATCTCAACAACTAGTTAATGCAAGTTCTCAAGTTTTTCACCCCTGTTAAAATTATGTTAAAATACTGTCTGTAAATGATTGTCTTGATGCCAATGACCAATTAAAACATGGCTTTCATATGACGGTGAGAGAAAAAAAAACAAAGATAGGAGCCGTGTTGTAATTGGTCAAGGTGCCTCACAGCTGATAATGATGACTTCATACTGCTGTCGTACATTGTTGTAGTTCGTTCGTACGTACGCTTCGCTTTGTTTGTACTGAGCATGGAGGGATGGTACTTCCCTTTGGTAGCCATGATGAACATCCACCCATGAACTGAGTGAGTGTTGCTTGGTCTTGATCTTGATCTTGATGGAATAATTGATCAGCTCCTTTTGTAGGAACAACTGTGGAGGACGAAAATTGGCCATCTGCTTTTATGTACTGTAGTGCTATCATTATCAGAATAGCAGAAAAGCAGATACACTACAGCCACTGACACTGACAGCAGATTTAACGTTTTTGTTAAATGAATTTTTCTCGTCCAAAAGAAAGTGGACAGGAAGATCAGTAGTTCAAGTACCTTTGACCCATTTTTCAGGTCAACTCGGTCCGTGACCAACTCGGTCCGTGACCAACTCGGTCCGTAATCAACTTGGTCCCTATGGGAAATTGTACACAAAAAGATTGTGGATTTTTACTAGCTTCTTTTACTGTCCTATTACAATATTCAGTCTTGAAACAGAAATTTAACCAAATACAGCAATTCCACCATCCATCTTAGACTAATGTCACATCAACTCCCCCCCCCCAAAAAAAAATTTGAGACGAAGAAGAGAATGATAGGCCCGATGATAATTTAAGTTCAATGTTGTTTAAATTAAATTAAAGCTAAATTAAATAGGCCTGATGATAAGCACATGAATGATAAGAGAGTTGATATCGATAAAATATGTTGTAAAAAAGGTTGCATCTCGATCTTTAAAAAGCCACGTTCAAATTTGTCTGAAATGCATATGATTTTCCTTAGCCTTTGTGCATATCCAAAGAATAGACAGTTTTCTTCATTATATTAATCCCCAAACTCGGTCACGGACCGAGTTGGTGACGGACCGAGTCGGTCACGGACCGAGTTGGCTCGGACCAAGTTGGTCACGGACCGAGTTGACCGGCACCTCTACAAATCACCATATTTAACGTTTGGACAGGTTTGGCGATTAGTAGGGTCAAAGGCCATCCAGATATTTCAAACTTCTACTATCAAACGTCCCAACGAAACCATCATTTTCAGCCCCAAAATTGCTATAAAACGACCAGTTATGCAGCAATGGTTGACTTACCATCTGGATGGAAAGTGGAAGTTTCAGCATTATTCTTAGGAGTTCTTTTGGAGGTTCAGTAATCCAAGAACCAAGATCTGCGTACGAGTCGTCCTGCGTACGAGTTGGTTCGCGTACAAGTTGACCTGTTTCCTTTTCCCGAGTGTCAATAAAGGACGTATGAAATCTTGGGATGTCATGGATGTAAACATTCCTTACAGCAGAGTAAGGTCTCACAATCGAAATAGCTGAAACTTGGCAAATGGTGCATTGCACATGGCTATCTCTGTAAGGTTTTGAAAGTACCAAAACATTTTTTGTTGGTGAAGTCCCTGCACATTGTGCTCCTGGAGAAGTGTCTACTCTTATTACAAGATCTGTACCAAGTCCTATAAGCTACGAACTGATCTGGAGAGGTCAGCTGATAAAGCAGTGAAAATAGGAAGAGTGTTCTTCAGGACCACTACAACACCACAAGAGGAAAATGACTAGTTTCATATATATGATCATTAATGAATTGAACAAAGAAAATTGACATGAACGGAGTTCGCAGGTTCAAATCCGGTTCCTGTCAATTTTTCTTTGTTCAATTAAGAATTAACTTCCTCTTTTAATAGACGCACGCAGATCGTGACATGCAGGTATTGGGAATTGAAGCATACAATTGAAAGACAATGGCATTTTTTTGCAGGCTATTTGGTATTTGAGCCAAATGCTACAAGGACTGCACAGTGATGATGAAAGCATAGAGGGTACAGACAGAGGTGAAGATGATGATGGAGTCGAAGACAGAGGTGAAGACGGAGTTGAAGATGGAGGAGAAGATGTAGATGAGGACAGAGACGAAGATGTAGATCGCGACATGGATGGAGTTGATGGTGGAGATGAAGATGTGGGTGAAGACGATGATGAATATGGAGACACAGACGAATACGGAGACGATGATAAAGATGATGATGTTAGCTGTGTTCAATTGGAAAGTAGTACTGTAAGTGAGCAGTAAAGCTTGGGTAAAATTATTATTTATTGTGAATATTGACTTCAATATGAGCAACTTAGGTGAAGTTTGGAACTTAAACAGTCATGAAATTGGTTGTGAATTTTACCGATGCTACCTACTGTACGTGACATTCCCCAACTATGTAGTTTTAAAAATGACGAACAAGGAATAAATAAAATAATGTCATCAACCGTGACTAGCAGTATTTCTTAACTTAGCAGCTGAAAATAATGAGAACACCCAAAAAAATTGAAAGAAATTAGGGCTTCTGCAACGTGGTAAAAATAGGGAACGGATAATTTTAATTTGGTGTCATCACTTGTTATGCAGTGAAGGTGACGTCCAACCTGGTCTACCTTTTATAATGATTTCCCAATCAGCTGTGTTCAGAATGGTCTATCCACTCCATGCATGACAGGCAGGATTTCTTCTAAGAGTACAGTGCGTCCGACATGCAGCCATATCTTGCAAACAAGTTCTGAGATATCGGACGTACTCTGTCCCTTTTGAAATGATGAGTCCATAGACTAATCTGGTGACCACAATTAGAAGCTAATACTGAAATGGTGCTATACTTTCTAATTGTACGTGTGCGCTCCATGCTCCTTAGACCAATAGGGAGTTTACAATTTGCTTAAAAAAGCGCATACACATGTTGCCGTCTAACATATAGATACACGGAACTAAAAGAACACAATTACAAAAACAATATTTTATAGGTTGGAGGTGGAGACAGAAGTAGAGTTGGCAACAAGGACAAAGATGGAAAAGATGCAAATGAAGAAGAGGATAGAGATAAAGATCAAGACGTTGAAGATGTTGGTGAAGACGAAGATAGAGATGGAGAAAGATACCTTTTGGTGGCGAGGATGAAGATGATGTTAGCTGGGTTCCATCAGAGAGTAGTACTGTAAGTGAGCCGTATAACCCTGTGTAAAATCAAGGATTGACATATTGATCCTAATATTGATTGACATCACCCTGACGCAAATTCATCTTATGAATACTTGTTTAAAATAATTACTTCCGTGAACCACATTATGATTGTACATATTTCACAGAAAGAGTTCAGGCACAAAACGCAACATGCCACTTTCCCCTGAAAAAGACCAGCATCATTAGCTTATTATCCTAGTACCGTTTTAAACCTCACCCCCTTCAGCTTCGTTCATATGGTCATGCCAATCCAATAGCAAATTATGTTGCATTCTGCAGTGTACCAGCTTCACACAACTACAGGTATACTGCTGCATCCATAAGGATTCAACTGGTATTTTTTGGCCTTGTGGAAAAGGCTTTTTGGGGGGCAGACACTGTTTATTCAAGTTGTATGCCCAAAACTAAAAACTTTGTACCCTGTACATAGATTTTGTACATAGATTTTAACGCTGGCACTTTGGACCTTGGCTTTTACCATGGCTTTGTTAACTATCAAGGGTAAAGAAGAGAGCACGAGGATATGGAGAACGAAGAAATAGACGGAGGTGGAGACAGAGCTAGTGACGGAGGTGGAAACCGAGTTGGAAATGGACGCAAACGAAACAGTCATATTACAAAGTAGTATAAACCTGTACGAAAGAGTTTTTAATTTCAAAACAATTTTTCAGTTGTTTATCACTTAACACAAACCGGCAACAAAATGAAATGTCATTACTGGAGTGTAACACTACATTGTGAGGCAAGTGCATAGCATACGTTGTTAAAATCGAAGGAGCTACTCCTTCGCAAATGTTAGCTCTGCAGCATTAGAGTGAATGAAAGCTAATTTTGGTCACCGGAATTAGTCTATATCTCTATAGCTTAGGGACAGGGAACACTGCAAGACACGTCACACAACCTCATTGAGGTTGTTAAAAAAAATAGTGCAAGAGTTTGATGGATTCATTACTGCAAAGCCAACCATAGTTTCATGTAGCATAGGGCAGATGCATGCCCATCTTTTTAAAATCCAAAATGGTTGGGCGATGAGTTAAGAATGTTTAAGAATTTAAAAGGTTCTTAGCAAGAAACCTTTAGGGATTAAAGACAACATTTACGAAAGATCTTACAATTTTTTGCATGTAATAACAATTAACAAACATAATAGTAATGCTCACTAGCTCTTTTACACAATAAGCTAATCCACCTTGGAACTTTTTAATATATTTTTCTATATACTTGTATGCTATGCTAAAGGTAGAGGTTTCCAGTTTTTAACTTTAAAAATGTGTATTAATAACTATTTTCTGTGATTTGAATTGTTTAACATTATAACAGGGAAAAAGAACTCCACAAACATGCAGCTTGTGCCACAGGGCTGTGGTGTATTTGGCGCAGTATCTTCAAAGGCAACTCAAAATAAAAAACAAAGACGCAGGGAAGAAGGAGTTGTTCAAAGCAAGAGAATGGTGAAACAAAAAGTAAAATTAAAATAACAGTTTTGGAATGACATGGACCTTGCGTACAAATTTGGGTTGCATGTTCATGTAATAATAATTATAATTTAGTTAACTAATGAGCTCTCTCCAGGACCAGCCTGTTCGAGAGCGCTTTACATATTAAAAATCCTATAAAAAATATACATGTACATGAAAAATTGATCAAAAATACAAAAAGCCATCAAAACTACATGTAATTAACATCAGAATTCCAAAAGGAACATACTATATACATGAACTAGTATGCTTAAAATGTAATGACAGTTGTACTGTCCTCCTTAAGGTGTATCTAACCAAAATTAGACAGCCAGCCAAACTCCTATCAAGAACAACGAGGGAGTCAGGAAGTAGCGTCCAAGCTCCAAGTTTAATCGTCCGTGAAAAAGGAGTGAAACTGTGTAACAAGAAGTAGAAAAAATGCACTAAGTAAAGTGGCTCATGGGCTTTGAAGGCTTAACAGTTTAAAGTTGACTAAACACCACTAATCTTAAATCTCAAAACATGCAATAATTAAGAAAAAGAGTGGTAACAAATGTCAATGAGTGTATCTATCCTTTAAATAAAAGATAATACCCATAAATAACAGCAAGCAAAAAGCGCGAAATAAACCTAAGCGGATTTTCTATAAAACAGAAAGGTACATGTAAAACACGCTATGTTATTAACCAGTTACGATATGGCCGAGCGACATAGACGAGATTGTTTACCTAAAATCCGAGTCCGAAAACAGCCCTAAATACCTCTAATTATAGCTACAAAATGCAAGAGGAAATGGCATAAACTTACAGACAATGCTTTCACAGGTGACTACAGGGATGGCAGTTGATCAGGTGTCAAAAACGAGTTGCAAAAATGTGGGAACTTGCATAAAATTGTCAAAAACGTTTTCATGAACATATGTGAAAAAACTGGCAAAACGAAAAACTCAATAGAGGGCGCTGCTTAAGAAAACTGGACAAACGGTCCAGAACACTCCCCGCTTGATGTCTTTAAGATGTCACTACTACAGGAACATATTTACAAAGTTCAGTCCTCTTTGGGTAGCAGCAGTACGACTTCTGCGATAGGTCTCACGAACTTCTTGGTGGTGCCTTGCGCGGTGACCTTCACTTCCAAGGTGCGGACCTTCCCATCGTCTCCTACGAAGGTGGAAGTAACTAGCGCCAGGGGCCACTCGTTGCGGGCAACTTGCTTGTCTTTCAAGAGTACCAGGTCTCCCTCTTGAAGGTTGCGACGAGTTTCCGTCCACTTTCGCCGACTCTGTAAGGTGGGGAGGTACTCGTGGCTCCAGCGGGACCAGAACTTGCTTGCGAGACTCTGCACTAGTCTCCACTGGCTCTTGAACAGGTCCTTGTCAGTGAAGTCTCCAGGAGGAGGAGGTGCACCAACCTTCTGGGTAAGTAGCATGGCAGGTGTCAGGATGAACGGTGGGCCGGGATCGGTAGAGACTGGAACCAGCGGTCTTGCATTGATGATGGCTGTAACTTCGGCTAAGAAGGTGCACAGGACTTCATGGGACAGGCCAGATTTGTTTTGTAGCATCATGGAGTCGAGGATTCTACGTGCTACTCCAATCATCCGCTCCCAGGCACCTCCCATGTGTGATGAGTGGGGTGGGTTGAATTCCCAAGTGCAGCCATGTTCGCTGAGGTAGTGTTGAACATCATTCCCCTGCTGCTGCTCCTTTCCAAGCTGTAACTCGTTGCAGGCTCCGATGAAATTCGTTCCGCAATCCGATCTCAGCTGTTTTGCTGGTCCACGGATGGCGAAGAACCTCCGGAGTGCATTGATGCAACTTGAAGTGTCCATGGCCTCTATGACTTCTATGTGGATTGCTCTCGTGCTCATGCAAGTGAACAACACCGCCCAGCGTTTGCTTTGAGCTTGATCTCCTCTGGTGCGGCGGGCGACGACTGTCCACGGGCCGAAGACATCTAAGCCCACAAAGGTGAATGGTGGTGATGTGCCGAGTCTCTCTGGGGGTAAGTCAGCCATCTTCTGCTCTTCCATTCTCCCACGAAGTTTCTTGCATGTCACACACTTATGTAGGACAGAGTTGATGAGCCTCTTACCGCCGACAATCCACAAGCCTGATGCTCGGATGGCTCCTTCAGTGAAGTGGCGACCTTGATGCTTCACTTGCTCATGGTAGTGTCGTACCAGCAGTGTAGAAACATGGTTGCGTCCTGGTAGGAGAATGGGATTTTTCTCGCTGTTGTCCAGCTGTGCATGCTTCAGACGGCCTCCTACTTTGATGAATCCGTCTTCTAGTGTGGGATTCAGCTTCGAGAGTGAACTTGAAGTAGAAACATCGCTCTTCTGTTCAAGAGACGCAAACTCGTCGGAGTAGACATCTCCCTGAACTGACTTGATGATGACACTCTTGGCTTGAGCCAACTCATCTGGAGTGCGTGGTTTGTTGCACTGATGCCAACCTCTGCATTCCGCTGACTGGTCTGCCAGGTCCTTCTTGAAGGAGTGAGTGACATGAATGAGGAACGCAACACCTCTCAGGAGTGATTTCCAAGTTGAGAAGTGCTCAAAGCGCTTTGGTGTGAGCTGTCTCTCTTCGGTCTTGGTGATGAAACTTCTCACCTCGGGCCGAATTTCTGCATCTGAGTCCGGGGCAACCAGCTCCAAGGAATCTTGGTTCTCCGCGTCAGCTTTGCCTGGTTTGTGTAGGAAAGCTGGTCCTGTGAACTATGATGTAGTGGTGAGTTGGGATGCCGGAACTGCTCTGGAAGCGTGGTCAGCTGGGTTGTGCTTTGTTGGTACGTAGTGCCACTGGTCTGGCTGTGTTGTCTGTCGGATGCGCTGGACTCGGTTGTGTACATACACGTAGAAACGCTTGGTTTCATTGTATATATACCCGAGCACGACTTTACTGTCACAGTAGAAGTTCACGGCATCTGGCTTGATGTCAATTTCGTCTAGGATGAGTTCTGCTACCTCTACTGCCAGGACTGCAGCGCACAGCTCTAGACGGGGTATGGTTGGTTGTGACTGAGGAGTCAACTTAGCTTTCCCCAGAACGAAGCCCACGTCAACTTGTCCAGTTTCGTCAACAGTTCTGAGATAGGCAACTGCAGCGACGGCTTTGATGGATGCGTCTGAAAACATGCACAACTCGGTGTGCTGTGCCTTGGAAAGGGACTTCGAAGAATAGGTGCGTGGGATGTGAAGATTCTTCAACTCCTGAAGTGAATCTCTCCATGCTTCCCATTCTTTCAGCTTTCCTTCAGGGAGGGGTGCATCCCAACTGCAAGTGTCAGTGGTGAGTTCACGCAGTATGGTTCTGCCTTGTATGGTGACTGGAGCTACAAGGCCAAGTGGATCGAAGAGACTGTTGACTGTCGACAGGACTCCACGGCGTGTGAATGGTTTGTCGCCACTCGATACCTTGAAGGTGAAGGTGTCTGTCGTGGTTTCCCAGGAAAGTCCTAGACTGCGTTGGACAGGTCCAGTCTCATCTCCTGTGCCGAAATCTTTCATGCCCTTGGCATGATCATCGGCGGGGAAGGCCTGCATCACAGTGGTGCTGTTTGAAGCAATTTTGTGCAGTCGTAGGTTGGATTCAGCGAGCGATGCTCGGGTTCTCTGCAGCAAGTCGATGGCCTCTTCCTCTGTCGGCAGAGATTTGAGTCCATCATCAACGTAGAAATGTCTTTCGACGAACTCTCGAGTGTCTGCGCCATGGACTTGTTCACCTGCTTGCGCGGCTCGTCTCAGACCGTACATGGCGACCGCAGGGGATGGACTGTTTCCGAAGACGTGCACTTTCATGCGGTAGTCGATGACATCCTTTGTGGTGTCGTTGTCTCTGTACCACAGGAATCGGAGGTAATTGCGGTGGTCTTCTCTCACAACGAAGCAGTAGAACATCTGCTGGATGTCGGCTATGATGGCCACAGGTTCTTTCCTGAACCGTATTAGAACTCCCAGCAGGCTGTTGTTTAGGTCTGGGCCGGTGAGTAGAACATCATTGAGGGAGAATCCATGATGTTGAGCACTCGAGTCGAAGACTACTCGTATTTTCTCCGGTTTTTGTGGATGGTATACGCCAAAGGTTGGTAGGTACCAACACTCCTCTCCGGTTCTCAAAGGAGGTGCTTTCTCTGCGTGGTCGTTTTCGAATAACTTCTGTATGAAGTCGATAAATTGCTTCTTCATCTCCGGCTTCCTATCTAAGCTGCGTCGTAGAGATAAAAGACGGGTGACAGCATGCTCCCGGTTGTTTGGAAGATGAGGTCTGGGTGTTCTGAACGGCAATGGAGCTACCCAGCTGTTGGTGTCATCTTTCTTGAATTCTCCATCCATCATCTGTAGAAAGATTGTGTCTTCGATGGAGAGAGCTGGCTTGTTGTCTTCAGGGGTTGTTCTGAATACTTCTCTTCCGAGTTTGTCATCAGCTGGTCTTCTGACTGGGTTACTGATGAGCGTCCGTGATGAAGCATCCTGCTGCTCCCCGCTGTGAGTTGCCTTCTCTCTCAGGCAGATGTGATTCTTGCATGGAGCCAGAAAAGAGGGGCGTCCGCTCTCCAGAACATGGGTTTTGAAGCTGTTTACAGTTGGCACATATGCATCTCCCAGACAGACTTCACCGATGAGGACCCAGCCAATGTCAAGTCGCTGAGCAAAAGGGGCGTTGTGTGGGCCGTTTATCTGCTCTCTCACCTTGTGTACCCTGAGGATGTCTCTCCCTAGCAGCAAAAGGATTTCAGCATTCGGATCCAACTTGGGGATGTATGGTGCTACAGACTTCAGGTGGGCGTGGTGAAGAGCTACGTCAGGCGTTGGTATCTCTGCCCTGTTGTTTAGGATCTCGTTGCACTCGATGAGAGGAGGGAGAGGCAGGCTTACTCCTCCATTCACAGCTTCAATCTGGAAACCATCAGCTTTCCTCCCTGTCATTTCTGTAACTCCTGCACAGGTTCTAAGGGAATAGGGTGATGGGCTGCTTCGGATGTCAAACTGATCAAAGAAGTCAGATTTCGCCAGTGACCGGTTACTCTGGTCGTCTATTACTGCGTACATCTCGACAGCACTCTCAGGTTGGTCCTGTGGGTAAACTTTCACCAGGCATATTTTGGCACATGACTTTGCCGATAGGCCCTCACCGCATACCTCTGTGCATTGTGAGTTGACAACAGGTGGGCTGGATTGGGCAACTTCCTCCTCCCCGCCATGCTGTGGTGTGGGGGTAAAGGCCTTCAGAGTCCAGGGGGCAGGACCAGGATGCATGGCTGTGCTGTGATGATTACTGTTGCATTCGGTGCATTTCAGTGGAATCACACATTCCTTCGCAAGATGAGAGATTGATGCGCAGCACTTGAAGCAAATTCCATTTTCTCTGAGGAAGGCCCTTCGCTCGTCTATGGTCTTTGCTCTGAAAGCCCTGCATTTCTTCAGGGGATGTGGTTTTTGATGGAGGGGGCAGCTTTTACCGGGATCGCTCTTCTTTGCGTCAGAGTCTGCACTCGATTCAGCCACTATGGAGACATCTGTCTTATGTACGGATATCGGTGCTCTCATACTAGTGTTTCTAGTGGTGGGTTTGTCTGCTCTCATGGGGCCACTGTTGTTGCTGGAGATGGTGAAACTCGGGTCATTTCTGGTTTTGGCTTCTGAGCAGATGAATTCAGCAAAGAAGGAGAATGGGGGAAAGCAGGCATTGTGTTGTTTTTTGTACCTTGATCCCTTGGTGATCCATCTCTCCTGCAGGCCATGTGGTAATTTCTCAACTATGGGATTGACACCACGTGCCGTGTCCAAGTAGCTGAGACCAGGTAAGTATCCGTCTTCCTTCGCGCATTGGACTTCCATGAGCAGATCACCAAGCTGTCTCAACTTGAGCGGATCTCTGCTGTTGATGCGTGGAAAACCGTCCAGTCTGCGAAAGAGGGCGCTTTCGATGACCTCTGGTGCTGCGTATTGCTCTTTCAGCCGTTCCCATGACTTCTTCAGAGCTGTGGTCGGGTCCTTTATGTGCACAGCACAGATTCTTTTGACGTGGTCTGATGATTCTTTCCCCAGCCACTTCACTAGCAGGTCAAGCTCTTCGCTTGGTGTTATACCCAGGTCCTTTGTTGCATTGTGAAATGATGATCGCCAAGCTCTGTAGTTTTCGGGTCGATCATCAAAATGTGTGAGTCCTGTGTTGACTAACTCACGGCGTGCAAGATACTTGGCAAAGTCATTACCTTGATCTCCTGCAGGGGTCTTCTGGGGGGAATGGGGGCGTGTCTGGTTTCCCACTGACGTCGGACTGCATTGCAGGGGACAAGATGTGACTTCAGCATTGGCAGGATTCAGTGGTGAGGGGGGTCTCATGTTGTAAGCAGGTTCGAGGCTTGGCATTGATGAAAAACCAGTTTGAAATTCAGCTTGTTGCTGAACGTAGTCTTTCGTGCGCTGAGTGATGTCTGCTGGAGGAAGTGGTGTGCTTATTTTGTTGACTGACAATCCAGTTTCCATCTCCATGGCTGCTTCCAATGCCTCGGCTTGAGCCAAAGTTGCTGCTGCCTCTCTTTGGTGGCCCAGCAATCCCAAATCTGCATCTAGTTTGGCCCTCTGCAATTTCATTTTTGCCTCGTCTTCAGCAAAAGATGCACGGACTCTCGCCGCCTCCGCTTTGGCACGGGCTCTGGCTACTTCACTCAATGATGAAGATGAGCGTGTGACCCTTGAACTTGCCCGAGAGGCTCGATCATCGCATTTGTCTTCAATGATGAAGATGAGTCGCCTTGATCGACTGCCGCAGTTATAACACCAGCTGGTTACTGTCTTTTCACTGTACTGTCCTCCTTAAGGTGTATCTAACCAAAATTAGACAGCCAGCCAAACTCCTATCAAGAACAACGAGGGAGTCAGGAAGTAGCGTCCAAGCTCCAAGTTTAATCGTCCGTGAAAAAGGAGTGAAACTGTGTAACAAGAAGTAGAAAAAATGCACTAAGTAAAGTGGCTCATGGGCTTTGAAGGCTTAAATACACAGTTTAAAGTTGACTAAACACCACTAATCTTAAATCTCAAAACATGCAATAATTAAGAAAAAGAGTGGTAACAAATGTCAATGAGTGTATCTATCCTTTAAATAAAAGATAATACCCATAAATAACAGCAAGCGAAAAGCGCGAAATAAACCTAAGCGGATTTTCTATAAAACAGAAAGGTACATGTAAAACACGCTATGTTATTAACCAGTTACGATATGGCCGAGCGACATAGACGAGATTGTTTACCTAAAATCCGAGTCCGAAAACAGCCCTTAATACCTCTAATTATAGCTACAAAATGCAAGAGGAAATGGCATAAACTTACAGACAATGCTTTCACAGGTGACTACAGGGATGGCAGTTGATCAGGTGTCAAAAACGAGTTGCAAAAATGTGGGAACTTGCATAAAATTGTCAAAAACGTTTTCATGAACATATGTGAAAAAACTGGCAAAACGAAAAACTCAATAGAGGGCGCTGCTTAAGAAAACTGGACAAACGGTCCAGAACAACAGTCACAAAAAAATACATCTGGATTCAAAATAAAAATAACAAGATAACATTAAGATGTTTCTGTGCAAAACTTAGAGATTGGGATTTTCAGAAAATCTAAAAATCCTATGGTAAAATGTACAATTGTACATGAACATGTGATCCCTTGGGAAAATGTATACATGTACAAGTAGGTATTTGGATTTCTTTCAACTCTTTGACAGACTACACTGCACTTCACTGACAATTTTCTTTGTTGCAATCCTCGATTTCTCTTCATAGAACCAACCAAGTACAGCCGCATAATCGCCAAAAAAAGGAGGCCGAAGAAATGCCCCTACAGGGGCTGCACTGCCGGGGAGCCAAATAGGTTGGATGTACATCACCAGAAACAGCACAATGTGAACAAAATGTCACCTAACCTAAAATATAAGAGGGACGTTGCAAGAGCTATTTTTTCATTCCTTGAACAATCTTGTACAATTTAAATTAATAGGACAAGTAGGAACTGTCCACATTTTCATCCATACATTGTCCATTTTCAACATTTTCTTGCAACCTTTTCGCAGCCCACCCCCAATCTCTAGGCTTTGTTGTTTTGGATGTCGGCTTTTCTCTTGTACATTTGAAGTGTTGCTTCTTGGCCTCCTTCTCGACTTGTTGGTATGCCTGTCTCTGATCCTGTCATCCTGGTTTTCAGGAGTAGGGTTTTGGCTCCAGATATGATTTCCTAACCTCTTTGTCGGCCATGCGACAAGCTTCCATAGACCATGATATATCGGTAGGGCATATGGTAGCGTGGCGGTATGGTATAAACATCTCCGTAGCTCTAGAGATGATGTTCTCTACATTCAAACTAGCTTGCTCTGGGTCGTCTGTTTTGAGAGTTCTATCCAACGCTGCATCCTTAAGATGTTGCTTAAAAGATGACCAATTGGCTTTTCTGTAGTCCCATAGTCTATAGTGGCATGGATTGTCAAGAAGGAGGGGATTCCTGAAGAAAACCATGTTAGTGTTGTGATCTGAGGAGCCAAGTGCAGCTCTAACAGTGGTGGAAAAGCGTGATGGAGTGTCAAGTATCACCAGGTCAAGTGCATTTTCACCCTGAGTGGGTTTGTCAACCAGCTGTTCGAAGTCATGGCAAGCAACACCAGCTTGGTCTGTTGGGGACTTGCTGCCCGGCCATTCTCTGTGGTGAACATTAAAATCACCAAGGGTGTTCTGTATTAAAATAGAAGCAGTGGATGCACCTGTTTCCTTGTTGCTACCTCGGTCAACCTCCGAACTGGGGTGTATTGTCCTTGCCATTGTTCTATTATAGAATCTTCCTTCGGTTTGCTTGCTTTGGGAAATACTCTCAGTGTTTATGATACATGCTGTGAACTTTTCAGTCTTAAACATAATTGTTTGTTTGAATCATTACATTTTTAAATGACTGTTGGTTGTTAACTTAAAATGGCTAGTTAATCTGGCAAACATTTCGTCAGTCGTACCACGAACCGTCGTATCCTGGTATTTTGGGCAAAGTGACATTTTTGATTTAACTGAATTATTATGTTAAACTGAATTATTCTACGGTGATTTTAGACCAAATTGAGCTGTAATTTTGAAATATAGGTAATCAGAAAAAAATATTAATCTGCAAATATAAATGTAACTGTTTTCACGACCCGACGTATACATTTACGCCGCTTTGTCAGTCCATAGAAATTACAAAAAAAAATCTTTTTACGACACTATGTGGAAACGTAGTGTGTCATTTTTATTATGCGCCCTCTGTCGGTTACGTCAATTAGCTTTTTCGTACCCAGGACTCTTGAACTTGCGTGCTTGTTTTTTAAACGAAGGCAGACTCTGCTGGGAACGAGGAAAAGCATTGCTTCGCACACGTACACGTTGTACGTACGTACATGTACATAGCATACGTACGTACGCACGGCTGTGCAGCTTGCAGTTTGCTGGGGCTGACTCAGTAGGCAACTTCAGGCCATTAAAATGGCTGAAAATGGCACCTTGCCCTCCACGGATACCATGACAAATAAAGGAAGTGAGTATTTTTCTTTTATAGATCTCTATGTAGCAAATACATGTAAAACACTCCCAAAAACATGATGTAAGCTTGAGCTAGCAACGTCAGGGCCTAGGCCCTAGCTAAAGATTGGAATGGTTTAGGCAAGTCATTGATTCGACGTTTCATATGTAGGCCTACTTGGCTTTGTGTAAAGGTCTACATAATAGTGCAATTTCGCTCAATCCTTTTAGAACTCTTGGACTCCCTTACCAAAATGTCCAATTCAATTTTCCAATTGGAACCAATTGGATTTTATCTCCAATTGGCAATTGGCACAAACCAATTGGATCCAATTGGGCCCAATTGGATCCAATTGGGCCCAATTGGATCCAATTGGGCCCAATTGGATAAGTGGCACCGATTGGAATGAATTGGAATAAATGGCACCAATTTGAACCAATTGGAACCAATTGGAAAAATGAAATAATTTTCCAATGAACTGGAAATAATCCAATTGGAACCAATTGGGAAAATGGAATAATTTTCCAATGAATTGAAAATAATCCCAATTGGACCAATTTGAGGGGGGGGGGGGGGTTGCTATCGGGGATAATTACACAAAATGCTTGCTAACAGTGTAAACATTGCAAAGACAAAGCTTTATTTCAATTTGTTTGCAACATGAGAATGCACAATTTATTTACAATCTATATTTAAACCATAATATGATGCAACTTTAAAAAGTGCATGGTTGTTTCGTCTACACCATTCTGCTTGTCTGGGCGATATATATATATTTTTAAAAGGGCTCATTTAGGGCAAGAAGACCAACCATTGCAATGGTGTCAGTTTACATTTCTTTTTGAATTGTAATACACGGAATTCAGAAAGGGGGAGAGCAAACATATACATGTAATAGATTGTTGTAATGAGAATACTGCAACCTGTAAATTAAGGTACCGGATACACTACAGTTTGACAAAAGTTCGGGTAGTTTAGAGTCTGCCTTATTAACAAATATGCCCACAAGTGAAAAGGATATTGGAAAATTAAATATATCAAAAGTTAAACAGATTCTCGTTTAAATAAAACATGAATATACAACACAAACTTTCATGTAAAATGTACAATGACATTATCTATAAAAGATAAAAACAATCTATGTTTAGGGTGTTATAATCTTCCCCAAAAATTTATTAAAAAAAATTAAAACAATTTGAAATTTAACTCTAATTTATTGCCCCTCCCAAGAGAATTTACTAATCCTTTCCTGCATCTGCTCTAATACTCTTAAAGAAACAGTAGGCCTAATAAGTTAGTCATACCCCTTACATCTCCAATCATATTGAGACCTCCTACATCTCCGATCATATTGAGACCTCCTACATCTCCAATCATATTGGGACCTTCTACTTTTCCGATCATATTGAGACCTCATCTCCAATTACATTGAGAACTCCTACATCTCCAATTATATTGAGACCTCCTACATCTCCAATCATACTGAGACCTCCTACATCTCCAATCATATTGGGACTTCCGACATCTCCAATCATATTGGGACCTCCTACTTTTCCGATCATATTGAGACCTCATCTCCAATTATATTGAGACCTCCTACATCTCCAATTATATTGAGACCTCCTACATCTCCAATCATATTGGGACCTCCTACTTTTCCGATCATATTGAGACCTCATCTCCAATTATATTGAGACCTCCTACATCTCCAATTATATTGAGACCTCCTACATCTCCAATCATACTGAGACCTCCTACATCTCCAATCATATTGGGACTTCCGACATCTCCAATCATATCAAGACCGCCTACATCTCCAATCATATTGGGACCGCCTACATCTCCAATCATACTGAGACCTCCTACATCTCCAATCATATTGGGACCTCCTACTTTTCCGATCATATTGAGACCTCATCTCCAATTATATTGAGACCTCCTACATCTACAATTATATTGAGACCTCCTACATCTCCAATTATATTGAGACCTCCTACATCTCCAATCATACTGAGACCTCCTACATCTCCAATCATACTGGGACTTCCTACATCTCCAATCATATT